GGAAAACGCACCGTGAAGCGATGGAGCGGGACTGTTCCCCGACGGCGCGGGCGGCTGCGGGGCCTCTCACCTGCAAGGGAGAGAAGAACAGCACGTAAAGCGCACGCAGCAACACAACAACGTGGAAAACGGAGCTGGGAAAAGCGGCAGGGAAGAAATCAGGATCGCCCCTGCCGCGCCATGAGCCCCACAGGCTGCCGAGCGCTCCTGTCCAGGGAACCCCCCTGCCCCAAGCAGCGGCTCCTGCCACACGGGCACTGCCAGGGATACAGGCCGTGTGGGAGCAGGGGGAACCCGCTCCACATCCACACSAACATCTCTTCCCCCAGGAGCAGCAAGAGGCACCAGCTGCTCTGAGGACCAAGCTCAGAGCTCCCCTGTGTTAACTCAGAGTGGCATCCCAAGCAACAAAGTTCAGTCACACAGGACAGGGCTTTGGAGATACACGCAGGGACTCTGCTATCACACCATTCATGGCTGCTCCATGGGATGCTCCCCATCACAACGCAGTGCTGGTGCTGCCTTCCCCATCTCCCCAGCCTAGAAGGGCAAAGGCCAGGCAGGAACAAGCCGTGTAGAACTGCACCCTGGGTCTCACGGATTGAACCTCCGCTCCCGGAACAGAGGAGGAGCACACTGACCTCCAGCACTAACAGACTCCAGTGCTCACATACCAAAGCACACGGGTACACACAGGCAGCCCAACCCTGTCCCTCTCCTCCACGCTCTGGAGGGGGCAGAGGCCGCCCCATCACTGACGTTCATCACGCTTTATTCTGAGGAAGGCGTCCTCCACAGCCCCCTGGCCTAGAAGAGCCACACTGCAACGAGGAACAGCTGCCTGGGCCCGGGAAGGCAGGAATCACCATGCCTGGGGAAGGCTGAGCGCTCCAGGACCTCCACGAGTCTCCATRGCACACAACCACACACCCTGGGAGAGGTAAAAAAGCTTTTGTGGGACCCCAACTTCCACCAGCAACAGAAACCAGGGTCTTCTCCCTGCTCCAGTTTACTTGGGAGCTTTTTGCCAGCTAAGATGCATGCATCCCACCCCTCTGGAGGTGCAGAATTTACATGACCACAGGTCATGACTACCTACCTGAGTCTGATCCTATTTTTATTTTTTTAAGGTACTAGTGTTCAGCTCAGATGAGCTTCAATTTCTGGTTTAAGAAAAGCTGCAAAAAGCTCCCTAAGGCCTTTGCACACTGTCAGCCACAACAGGCACTATGTTCTGCTCTTCACTGTTACCCCACAGCAGATCTCCCCCAAAAGCCACATGAGCCTGATGGACTGGCAGAAGAAAACACTCGAGTGCAAGTCAAGTTCATCCTCAAAATATACCTTTATATAAAGACCAAGACTCATGTTTTCCTACATTCCTGTTAATAGAGCTCTTAGGAGACACTCACATGTTCACAGGACATGCCACACTGAAGCCAACTCTGCTCTTCTCCCTTCACCCATCTCCTACAGCATCCAGTGATGGCAAGAAGTTGGCCAAGGAAACCAGACGGTACTCMCCTCCTAGCACAGGCTTTGTCAAATCAGTACACCATGGCACACAAGCCCACACAAAACTACATACACATGGACTAACCTGAAACAAAGAAAAGTTTCCTATTAGACAGGTTTGTATTCATATTAAGCACATTTTAGTGACTTTWCTGAAGCTCAAGATGGACAGCTTTTAGCCATTCTATATCTGAAAGTATTTGAAACTACTCAGACTTTCCAATGTGGAAAAAATGCTCAACAAATACAATGTAGAAAGGCATATGTCTGCCTTGTGTGCATTTCAACATGGCCTGCAGTTTCTACAATAGCATATATGCATAATTGCCCCATCTTATAGAACATGGGGTTCACTCTATTTAGCACACCACTGCATCAATATGAGAAASGGCTGTTTAATATATATTTTTATCTATTAGTTCTCAAGAAAAAAAAGTTTTCTTGTTTTCTAATAGAAAGGATCACTTACTGATCTTACTGACATTTCAAGTACATTTACATGCCAACAGTTCTGCCAGCCAGGCAGTGCTGTAGCTGCCATCTCCAGCCTCACTCACTGCACCACTGCCTCCACCTTGCCACTATGCCCTTTGTATCACCAGAGGACCATTGCTGAGCTCTGAGAGCAGCACAAAGGCAAACTCAACAAAAAGTAGTAATAAAAAATAAATTATTTGTCTAGATAATTTTAAGCTTCTAATGCCTTCTTCACAAAACATGGAAGCACCAGAAGTCTTTTAGAGTTAATTTCAAGACACATTACATGCTGTATGATGCAAAACATCACCATCTTTCTTTTCAGGGACTTCCTGGCCAGACATACATGTGCACATGCTGTGTACCAAGTGTGACACGTCTGARAAACTCGGGACTCGTTGCACTTGTGATGTGCATATGGCCTGCATGTGTGCTGTAAATCCGATGGTTCTCTAATGCTCRTACTTATTGCATGCACAATAGCCAGTTGTGTCTAGGGGCCTGTTGGGAACTGCAGCAGGGCCTGGTCAGCTGGCTCAAGTCCTGAAATCTGGAAGTTTATGGGCAGCAAGAAGCCCAAACACGTGGTGCTCTGCTCCAAGCACCAGAGACCATCAGCCTCTGCCGCTCACAGCACAGGACAACCTGCACAAYGGAACCAGGTCCCTGCCACACCAGCCCTAATGAGGAAGGCAGAGAAGAAAAGATTAATTAAGATTAAATAAAGATTAAAGGAACCAAGCCTTGAATCCTATATCATTTTAAGCAGTTATACTYGCTAGATGGCTTTGAGAAGACTTCTTCAGCACATCCACTACAGCTCCTGGTGTTTGTCCACCTGATTGGGCCCATGGGCGTATTATAAACGTGCTAAGTCCAAATTCCACTTAATTTCCAAGTCACCGATGCAATCATTTGGGAAGCACTGACGCAGACCACATTATATAAAGCATCTCAGCGCATTACCGAAAAAGGACACAGAGCTACCACTGGAGACCCTAGTCAATGGTAAGGAATCTGCGTTGGCTTTTTACTAGACGCTGGAAATAGAACCTAGGTTTGATGCGGCAGATGTCAACGCGGCCACACTCCATCTCGGGGCACGTAACATGTAGGCACTGGGAGCTGATGGCTGCGCATCGGCGCTGCGTGAGCACGAGAGCCACTCTCAAGGCTGGGACGGGCCTGGGGCGGCCGCATCGTCACCGAGGTGGCTGCTGTCCCCGCGCCGAGGCCTGAGCCGTGTCKCATCGTCACCGGGGTGGCCGCCGTCCCCTGCCTGAGCTGTGTCGCATCGCCCTCTCGTGGCGCTCCGGGCTCACACGCGCCGGGAGCCGCTCAGCGACGCCGAGAAGGGCCTGTCCACGGCCCGTGGGGCTCGCGGGGTGCTTCAGCACTGCCTCAGCCTGCGAGATGTTCAGGTGCACACGCAGATGTCACAACTACGGGGAAATTAAACGAGGTCTGGCCGAACACAGCACAGGGCCTTCGTTCCGCACCCACGACCCTTGCGTGCGGCTGTGCCGCCACATCACCAACCTCCCGTCCTCGCCATCTTGCTGCCTCAGAGACACCACAAAGCTCCCCGGGGTGAGCTCCAAGCCAGGCCACGGTTTCTCCATGAGGACTGCTGGATCCAGCCGTTACATTTGCATGGTTTCCCTACAGAAAGCCAGTTTTCCATATAACAGAACTTCAAGCTCGCACCACCCTGTAGTTTCCTCCCTTGATAACATTTGTCCATCAGGCTAAAAATGCAGCTCTCATCTGCCATCAAAGATTCATTCCACAGCTTCCTGCTCCTAAATTTAYGCAGATATGAAGAGCTTCTGGTTGAGGCTAAAGTCACTTTAGAGAGACTCTTGACCTTCCRCTTTCTAGTAGGATATGCAGAATTACACTATTTTCAATATAATAAATACAGATTACTGCCAACAGCTGTCAATAGGCACCACAKACACCATCTGAGGTGGTCAGATTCTACCACAAAATTACCATTTATAGCATTTACAAATTTATGGTGTTTTGTGTTACCTAGCACCCCTAGACTCACATTGCATGCACAAAGAGCCACAACTTTGGGCAAAGAGCTAAAGAAGATTTCTCCCACCTAGTATGCAGCTCCTATTAATAAYAGTTATCCAGAGTATTGTGAATTGAACTTAATAAATCGCCTCTTGGCTCTCTTTCCTCATTTGAAAATGGGACTGCAATTGCCCTTGAAATTTGAAACCCATTTATTTTGCCAGTTTAATTCCAATAATGGATGGTAAGAACCTCACCTGCTCCTCATGCTGCTTCCCAATATGCTGCAGCTGAGGTCACTGAAATCAAAAGCCAG